GAGAAAACATTAACTACACAACAGCCTACATCAAAAAAACAAGTTCGTGTTTCACACAAGAGACTAGAAGGTGTCCTCAACCAGGCACGTCCGCCGTCACCTGACACACGGGAGAGGCACCTGGGCGATGCGAAGGGCATCAAGCATGGCGTGTTCTATAGCACCTCCGTCTCCATGTCCCCTCGAAAAGCAAACCACCCTAGATACGATGTTTCACTCTACAGCACGGAGTGGATCCAAAGGGGACGGTCCCCCAAGGCCAGCCCCCGTCACATACCTGCAGATCCCTGATGTCGAAGGGCTCTTCGAAAATGTATGCGGCATCGGCTCCAGCCGTGAACCCCCCATGTTGGCCAGGTAGCCACAGTAGCCGCCCATGGACTTCATGATGAACACGCACCGCTTGGTTCTGCTGGCGGACTGCTTGATGCGGTTGCAGGTCTGGTCACAGAGATCAGTCACTCCAGCCCAGGGCCAGGGTGCACCCACCATCCCAGAGCTCCCTGACGAGTGCAGCAAGGCCCCCCACTGCAGCTGAGCATGTGGTCCCAGCATCGCACAGGGTTGAAGGATGTGCAGCAGCTGGGATGTGCCCTCGGAGTGGGTGTGAACATGCCCCCACTCCCCCCCTCCTGCCGCGGCAGCCACCTGGAGGTGACCTCAATGACCTGTGGTGGGGGCCTGGCCATCTGCCGCTCCCTTCTCCCAGGCCCCATAGGAGGAGACTGAAAAGACGACCCCACAAGCCAGCTCACTCCACGCTGCTCTCTGTCCCTGCTGAAGCAGCTTTCACCGGACACAGACACCGTTAGGTGTGAGCTGAGAAGTTAGGGGGCTCTCGCCTGCCAGTTTAGTCCATGGGAACAGCTGTGATCTTCTATTTTCTTCCATTAAAGCTCCCTGCGATTTTAGAGCTGTGGCCATCTTCCATCCATCGGGGAATGTTACGTTTATAGAAACTACTCAAAGGCAGACAGTGGTTCTTAGACCCAGGTGCCTGGGGAGTCTTTCGGATGTATAGGCATCAGGTCCCCAAGAGAAATGTCTGCCATCCGCCCTCCACGAGGACCCAAGCTCAGTGGGGAGAACAACAACAGAGAAATGCATCGGCCACCTTCCCACCCACACACCAGTCCGGGCTGCAGCGCCCTCTCCTGAGACTCTGCAAAGCCTCTGCCTGGGCCTCAGCTCCCACCCCAACACCCTGCAATCTGTTCACACAGACTGGAGACCCATCTATAAAAAACAAATCTGATCCAGTCATTCAAAACCCTTTTCTCACTTCAAGTACACGTCAAGCCTTTCTCGGGAATCCCTGGCCCCATCTGCTTCTGACACCAGGTGTCACTCTAGATCCAGCCACCTCAGGTCC